CTAGGTGTATTAGGCACCTTGGACGTTTGACCCTGTCCGAAAGGCGTATGATCCGATGAACTGGACACCGGCTCCCAATGGATTGACCTGCTGTCTTGCGGGTCAGGCTTTGGCTAGCCAAAAGCTCCGGTAGTGAATTCCTTAAGAAAATTCACTTGTCTTGGCCTGGGCAACCTGGCAGTATTCAGCCCACTTGCACATCGTGGAACGTTTTACTTTTTCATGAAGATTATTGTACCTCGATTTGTTCGGCACAGTCTGGCCTCAGACGTGTGTGAAATTTAATATATCACGATTATGTACATCGTTCGCTCTAAATCACGCTTTCAAATTATCTACTCTGATGGGAATATTTCCCTTGAGACTGGAGAAATTGTTTAAACAGTCCCACAGAGCTCATGATAAGAACACAAATAGGCAAACAAGCTCGTTTTCAGTGTGTTTTAATCAGCTTAAAACTCGATTCACATCTAGCCCGTTGGTGTATCTACGGTTGAAGGACAGATTGTCCGATTCTGTTGCCTCTTTCTGTATTTACTCTTTCACTTCCTGAATCGTCTGTGTATCTGGTGCAGAAAGCCGATCGCTCTGTTTCGACCTTTCGCCGTTCCTTAAAAACAAATCACAGTTATTAATCATTGCAAGATGAACTAAACGAAAGATGATAAAACAGATTTGGTTTGACTAAACCCATTAAGTTTGAGTTTTCGATAATCGTGCGAACAAATCAACCGTCTTAATCCGCTAAAATAAAAACCGGTAAGTTTGTCTCTGATAAAATGCACTATTTTCTACAAACCGGGCTGATTCAGAGCGGAATAAATATGATCCGGAAGACGCCAGTGACTACAAAGAAGTTGAGTAATAAAGTGAAAAGGGTTTTTTCTACACAACCGCCCAGCTCAGTTTAGAGTAGAAAACTGTTACTGCTTTCCACCTTTATGATAGGTAGCTCGTTTACGCAATCTTTCGTGGTAACACACACAAGGGAAATATGCTGCAAAGTGGCATCCACGGCGCCACTGAACCTTTTCTCTTATTCGAAATTCAGTACTAAAACAGTCGTGGGTAGAATATTTTATCGACCTCTATTTAATACTCCATGGAACATCTAGTACAGTTATCGTCGCTTGTGGGATAATGGATAACTGTAACTCATTCATATCACAACCTGTCTTACTCGCTAACATATAAATGATCGCCCAGATGTAATTAATATGTGAAAAGATGCGACGGGTTGAGCGATGATACAGTAAAGATAAGAACCTATGTGATGAAGCTGAGTAGCGAAGGGAGAAGCCGCAGGTAGCAGATTGTTGCCGCTGGCATTGTGGATTAAATGTATTATTCAGCCACGGAATGACAGAAAAAATACGATTTCTGTCAGCTAAGGAATAGGTTCTTACTATTCAGTTGAAATACTGCTACTTCTTTCACCATTGTTACCATTGTTAAGTATCTTGTCAAGTGTGCATTTCTATGTCAGAAATACGTAAGCAATCGCATTCGATTCAAAGGAATCCGTTTTACTCTGGAGGAACTCGGCCTCAATGGAGTTTACTCATTGGGTTATTGAGGGCTTAGACTGACTCAATTCATGCAATGAATCATGCTCACCCGACCGATAGAGGTTAATTAACTCCGGGTTGGTTCATTGGTACCTATGATGCACACTCGATCAACGGCCACGGACGGGACGGGTGTGTTTGTGTGTGCGGAGGGGGGAGGGAGAACGTCCCACATCACCCCCACCCCGACACATTCATCCACGCTCGCTAACTAACTCAAAAAGCACTTTTGGTTGTTTACGGAGAAGTTGTTCATTCGGACTGCGGTTTAGACAGACCCTGTCAAATCGGTTACATTTGACGGTCGAAACACCAATAATCTTGTGGGGTTTCCATTAGAGTGCGATTGGTTGGATTCACTTGAAGTTACGGCGGATCCACTTGAAGTTACAACGGATTCACTTGAAGTTGAAAAGATTTAGTGTATAATATTCCTGAGTATGTTTTAGTGAATTTACTCATGTTATCATATGTAGTTTTCTTAAAGAAGGAGGCTGCTGAAGAATAAAGATTTACAAGAAGTAATTTGTCAAGTGCATTTAATGTGCTGTTTATTAGTAAAAAAAACTGTTCGAAGCTGTTTTGATTTGCTTCTTACAGTGTATTCGTCACTCAGGGGCAATGTGTTAATCATCACGTAAAGATAATGCAAAACATTTTTATACGATGGAAATGGTTGTGATAGCCAACAACCACTGGACAGCTGTTTCGTCCTGTTTGGGACTCGTCAGCAGTGCGCACGTTTTTGTGTCCCTGTCAAGACTCGAACCGCGATTCTTCGGGCTGGGACTTGAAACCCTTACACTTGGGCTACACGGTCGATGGTTATCGCCAGATTGATCGTCAGATTTTTTAAGCCCGTTTGAACACTGCCTATGATGGCATTCGTATTAGAAGCATCTCGTGTCGGTCATTTTGGTTCGAAACTACTCTTTTTCCCATCAAGATTTAGCCAAAACCCGCAGTCCTTTAGCCTCGAATCGTAATCCTTCAGCCAAAACCCGAAATGCTTTAGCCACAACCTTGAGGCACAAAATTTAGTAATACCACTGTACGCGAGTCAGATCAAAAAGTATAGGAATATTCTGAGGTCAACGAATGTTGAAAAAAATTGTTTTCTTCAAATGTTAATGTTGCAAAGTTTGGTTAAGAAATGAGTATGTGTGAAGATCGTATGCTGCACAGTTTACAGTAGTAATGGTATCAAATGCCGCACCACGTGTTGATTGGAGAAAGTTTAAACGATGTACCCGTATTGTCAAACCATTTGGCACATTTCGTTTGACTTCAGCGTTTTCAGTGAACCAGTTTTTAATATGCTAACTAATAAGCGAATAAAATAATGAAAAACGCTCAGTTGTTCGAACTTAATGGAAAATTCTTGTAGTGCGTTAAAAAATGGACTGTATGGTGGAAGAAACCGAATTTGGTGGTTAGCATGTAACTGAGCATCCAAAGCTCTCCGATGAACGGATGTATTGTCAAAGGTAAATACAACTGGAACCCCTGGTTGCTTAGTAGGTATTAATGTAGAGCAGCTTGATATAATCCCATAGGAAACATGTCAAGTAATCTTTCCTTTGACAGTTTACGAGTTGCGTTTCGCGGGCTGGAGGGTCAGCTTCTTATCCAAATAGCGATTTCCATTCAGCCAGCCGACCAGCCGAAGTCTTGCCGATAGATGTACCCGGGAAGTTTTTCTTTCCTTCAGCTGTCTCGTTGAATTTTGCCCTTTGAGGTCCAGCTTTTTAGTGTTACTTCCAACTCCGTGGCTGCAATTACGCGTGTTTTGATGTTATTGCCTAGGTGTTTTGCAACTTATTTCAAATCATCACCTCTGCGTGCACACTCAATTACTCTCCATCGGTCTTCTGCACTGATGAAGCGATAGGGCCTCTTTTGTCCATCCGATTTAACGTTCTCCGTACTACATATGCGTATAAGGATAGGTAAGGTACAAAAGACATTACTGCCGCCTTTCGTGGTGTATTTTTATAGCCCTATTACCGACGAATCGAATGTCGAATGACAATACTACAGAGGAAATCTAAAATGCGCTAAGCTTGTGGGTAAAGTCTCAACTGTAGCACGAACGGTAAATTGTTTTGCATTCAAAAGCCCTAAAGTAAATCAAAAGCGATACCACAAAAAAGTACATGATTGCCGCTCCGTATCTCCACTTAAAGTGAACTCTGTTCATAAATTAACAGAACAAGGATAATAAACACCGTTTACAAAAATACACCCGCGTTGCTATCATCAGTTTGTTATCGCTGCAACATTTGACATAATTACTACATTTAAGGCTCAAGAATTACGAGTTTCGATTAAAGCTTGATGGGGGAAGATATATATATATATATTTAATAAGTGTCTTTTGTGGACGGTGTTTATTATCAACGGCATGTTAATGTACTCACATTGCAAGAACAGAGTTTAACCTAAATGGAGTTATTGGAACGGTTAGTGTGTACTTTTTGTGGTATCAATTTTTAATTTATTTCAGGGCTTGTGAATACAAAACAATGTACCTTTTGTGGTACATTTGAGATTTTTGCTTACAGGAGTATCGTATGTTATACGAAAACACTGAAACTGTACGAGGTGCGCCAAATGGTTTGACGATACGGGCACATCGTTTAAACCTTTTCTAATCAACAGGTGTTGCAGCATGCAATCGTCACACATTCGCATTTCTTAACCAAGCTTTGCAACATCAACATTTGAAGAAAACAATTTTTTTCAACATTCGTTGACCTCAGAATATTCCGATACTTTTTGATCTGACTCGCGTACAGTGGTATTACTAAAGTTTGTGCATCGAGGTTAAAAGTCTGCTGGTTTCGGCCAAATCTTGGTTGGGAAAAGTTTCGAGCCTGATGATTAGATAGGAGACATTGCGAATGTGGCTATTTGCTAGTACGAGTAATGGAGGATTGAATGCGATGAATGTAATGTTTATACTTTTTGCCACTGAGGTTCCCATATCTCGGGAGTTGCTGATAACATAAACAAGTTGACCCCAACCCAGGAAAGCTTATTGCACTCGGAAATTAAATTCCCAGGGGTTTACAACAGTTCACGAACGGAACTAGATTTATTCCGGGTTCAAAGACTCAAGTGTATGGAAAGGAGAACAATAAGAAGAAATCGAGAAATGAGGTGAAGAAAAGATCAAATGATTCCAAATCAGTAGTACGAGAAAACAAGGAATGATCAATATTTTGCACACATTCACTTCATGAGTACATGGTTCGTATTGGGGAAGCAACTGGAAACAACGAATTCATTTGTGTGTGTGTGTGTGTGTGTGTGTGTGTGTGAAATACTAAATGCCCGTGGTGGGTGGGGTATGTAGGTCATAGAGGGAACAAGTTGGATTTAATTTCTACATTCCCACTGCTACTGGATGCTAAACCCTGCTAAAAACAGCCATTGGACGAATGGGTTCGGTGGCTACACGACATGTGACAATCGGATCTTCCGGAAGAACATCCTCCGTGAGACAACGATTCGGAGGCCTTGGTGGAAATGTCGGGTGCATGTCAACATCTGTGAAAGACAAGCCTTCGTTTAGTGGTTTCCCCAGAAATGGTACACCGAGCACGTTGGAGTTATTGTTTGTTCGAGTTGAACCATCAGGTTGGGTGGGCCACGAATGGTTATCTGTCGGGCAATAAATAGTGATACGAAAAGGGCGGGGACAAGAAGACATATTTGACTGATTCAGTTTGCCCTTGAGATAAAGTCGAAAGTTTCTGTGCAAAACTGAATATAAATCAGATGCTTTATTCGCAAATTTTAACGAATTCACGTATGTTCTGAGAACCCTGGTGTCTGATACGAGGGTTGAGCAAATTCTGCGGCTGGTAAACGAGTTTTAATTGTTACACAAAAATTAGCATTACATTTTCCCGAAGTATCCGCCACCAGCTTTCATGCACAGTTCCATGCGCTCAAACCACTTGATGAAACAGCTCAACCATGCCGAAGCGGGTAACTCTTCGATCAATTCAATGAAGAACCCCATTACAGCTGTTGGTGAGTCGTATCGTATTCCATACATTATGCACTTGACATCTGGAACATAGAACAGTCACACGGAGCCAGGTCTAAACTGTAGGGCGTGACCAACCTCCTGAATACGTTATCCAACCAGAAAATCGCTGGTAAAATAGGACTTGTGTGCAGGTGCGTCATGCTGCAGCAAGTTCCCTCGTGCTCGAGGCCCTGTATGGCGCTATGCAACTACTTCTAGCATTTTCAGCAGACAGTGGGTGGTGTGCCAGTCTCCGGCGGCTGGGCTGAGCGATACAGTAGCCACATGACCGTTTTTGGCCATAAACGTAACCATCATCTTCTTTACTAAATTACGCTCGCCTCGTAATTTCCGAGGCCGATTGTTGCTTGGTCTCTGGGTCAAAACTGTACACCCAGGTCCCATCACCACTGATTGTCTGATTGTCCACCATTAAAAGTGACAAATATGGTGCGGCACCAATTCATACGAACTGCTTTCTGCTTCTCACTGAGTTGATGGGACACAAAGCCTGCACAAATCTTTTTGAGGCCGAACTTCTCATGCAGAATGGTGCGGATTGATCCCGATAGCGTTCGCCAGCAGTGCCACTGCCGTCCGCGCATCCTGCTCCACCATCGCTTGCACAGCAGCAATGTTATCCGCTGTTGTGGCCTCCACAGGTCGACCACACTATATCTCATCATCTAGGGACAGCCTACCACCCTTGAATTATGAAAACTTTCCAAAAAAAGTGCTTCTTGAAGGCGTGTTATTCCCAAAGCAGCTCACAAGGGATCAACACTGCGGTTGCTTTTAACCACATTTGTAGTCGTACAAAATCACCGGCCTCCGGTGACATCGGCTGAATTTCATCCTTACAGTCCGAGTGGAGTGACCCTTATAATTTGTGAACTGTGCTCGTCTGTTGATATTTGGTTCTGTGAGTTGCAATCGCTGTTCAATAGTCACAATAGATTACAGCTCACGCCTTACTTGCGCGGTCATCTATACCTCGTACGTTTACTGCGTATCGGGAAACGTTTTGTTCAGCCTACATATATTCACTGGTAGCATACACTTTGATCACGTAATACTATGTAACGGAGTTTTAAACACTCCATTGATCAACTTCGCATGTTACATACAGATTTCCGGTCATTAAGTTATTCTATGAATCACCAGAAGGACATATGGGTTATCTTTGTGAAAAGAACGATTTCGCATTTGACTCACAATTACTTGTGAGTAGTGGTGTGGGATAATTTGTTTTTATTGATTTGAACTGACTATCCTTCGGACTTC